TTGGGTGGCAACAAGTTTATTCACAAGCCCATATAAACACAAGATCAGGTAAACATGAATAATAAACAACATAAACAATAATCATTAGTGTGCATCTTCATCATCGGCATCATCCATGTTCTTCATCTATTCCGTAAGGGTCCAAGGCGCTCATGACCATGAGCACGGCTGATATACCAGTTTTATACTCTACAGAGGTTGTACACTTTCACTGTGAGTCGTGATTTACCCTTTCACCCGAGGTGACCGGCCTCTTGACCCACTACTAAGAAAGGTCGGCAAGGTTTACTATGAAGCCTTTCAAAGGTTCGTCTAACAAGTTAGGGCCATTAGATTCACTCGGCAAACAGATATAGAGCCCCCCTTCCTGATGGCACAATGACGCGCAGCCTATACACAAGGGGACAAAGGCTGCACTATACCCGATTCGTCAAGCCATTCTTACGCCAATAAAGGTAACCACCACAAGCTAGAAAATGTCATCATACTAAGCTAAAGCTAGAGCCATGTAGCCCTCACAGCTGTACTGTAAGTCCCAGATGATCGCTTACAGATAAGTCCTTAGGGAGAGGAATCTAGAGCACCATAAAACCAGCCCAATGCTCTAGCACCCTTGTTTCATGTTGCTAAAAAGCATCTTTTAGTGTTTATTGTATATACCATTAGTCAAGTTACAAGATCATGGCTTTAGTTGAGCACTAGTATCATACTACCCAATGCAATACCCCATAGGTGACATGGTACGAGGTAACAAAGTACTAGGAAATCCTTAGTGGTACTCAAGGTAGACACATGCAGTATGAATTAGATGATTAAAGGTGTATAGGACAACAAGGAAGATCCCATGCTATACTTGCCTTAAAACTCAGATCCTTCTTCTAGTCCAAATCTTCAATGAATTGTTTCTGGATTCACCACGTATAGCTCACCGACTGGACTTGATCATAGAACACCACACAAGCATCCAAACAGACATGCATATCATACAAAACGTAGCTATATTAGAACAGTACACCAATCAGTGAAAAAGGATTTGAAAACAAATCTACGTATTGCTACGAACACACAAACACGAAAAGCACGTTAATCGGAGCTACGGTTGAATAGTTACAATTACCGAAAGATTTGCTTTATAAAAGTGAACCAAGAGCTTTATTAATTTTAACTATATAAAAGGATGTATAAGATATTTCATAGAAATACCTGAGTTGTAATAAGTCAAAATTCATATTTGAATTTAGAAGACAAAAGTAGAATGAATCATATTTTATTTATGAATCTAGTTGCATAATTATTAATCAAGTTAGGCTTTGAACTATGAAATTCCAGAGCTAGTGACATGATAATCATTGTTACTAATGCGTAAATTATGTTGTTACGAATCCAACGCAACTTGAATGGGCTAAAACGGAGTTAAAACGTAGAAGTTATGGCCTAAAGAAGGTAGTGGCAAAACTGTAAATAACTAGATCTTATTTTCCCTTTTTAAATAAATAAAAACTGAATTTTACAAAAGATTGGACTGCGGGTACTATTTTGAGAAAATCCCGTGGCTAGAACTAGAGAAATAAGGGCCTGGTTACAATTACTTTACACGGACACTGGATTGCAGATTGATTAAGAACTACAGGGTGCTTCTGCAAAAGTGTAACAGGCAGTGGGTTGACCTGATCCTCGTCCCGGTGGAGGCCACTTGGCGGCTGCGGGTTGGTGGGGTCCTTGGTGGACTGGCCGGCGTGGCACCGTGGACTAGGTCCATGGTCCATGGTGGACCGGATATGAAGGGGTACGCCCCGATCTAATCTAGACCACACATCGATGAACGGATGGCTGAGGGCAGTTGGGAGGATTGGGTCACCGGCACAGTGAACCCGACGGCGGAGGCCATAGCCGGAAGCTCGGAAGCTCACCGGCGCAAGCGGAAAATGGCGTAGGTGCCTCGGTTCTCCACGGGGAAAGCACGGGGAGTTAGCGCGGGGTGCGGCGAACTCACCTGGCCACTTCCCTAGGACAGTGATGGCTCAGCGACGACGCTAGGCTAAACGGGGCGGCGCGAGAGTGACAAAGGGCTAGAGAGGGAGCGAGCAAGGCACCGTTTGCTTACTTACGTCTTAGCGAAGCTTGGCGACCGATTCTTGACGTCGGGGAGGCAGCGCCCAGCTCTAGAAGCGGCGGCCGGTGACCTCGAACCTGGCGAGATCCCTAGCGTGCGCGTGGCGTGTGGTTAGGGCTAGCGGCGGCTGTGACTTGGCTCAGCGGGTGCGGCATGGCGCAAGAGCTCTTTTTATGGGGCCACGAGGCGTGGAGCGTATGCCGACCGGTGATGACGGCATGGAGGCGGACTCCCGATGGCAGTGTCCGGCTCGACCACGGGAAGAAGGCACGGCTGACAGGGCGGGCCAACCTGTCGGCGAGAGAGCACACGAGACCCGGCGGTCAGTCATAGCGAGAGAGAGAGAGAGAGGGGAGGGCGCGCGACTAGGCCGGAGCAGAGCGGGCCGCAGAGACGGAGAGAAGGGAAAGGAGTGGGCACGCTCTTGGGCTTCAGCCGCGCTCGGGCCGACTTGGCAACTGGGCCACGCGAGGGATGAAGGGAGTTGGCCTGCGGAAGGGATGGAGAGGTGCTGGGCCTGCGAGGCTGCACTGGCTGGGCCACCAGGCCGAAAATAGAGAGAGGGAAAGGTTCTTTTTTTTCTTTTCATTTCCAAACCTTTTTCAAATTCTCATTTTCAAAAACATTTCAACAAATTTTGAATTTCTTTTTTGAAGCAAAACAACTCATCTTAATAAATAAAATGCAATGACATGTATGCTCAAACATGTTTCTAAACCCTATGATGAATTTTATTTTAGTGAAAATTTATTATTTCCTATATTTTATGAGCACAAAAATACATAATTGAATCATTCTAACTTTATTTTGGAAAAAGCAAATTTTCGGGTGTTACAACTTTAGAGTGGCATGCGACTGGAGTTGTTGCAAGCATACGTGAAGGTAGTATGGGCTCTTATGGGCATGTTGTCTAGGAAATTAGAGTTAGATCGAATGATTTCAGATTTGTTGAGTTCATCAATGAGGAGAGATGATCAAATGTGAATGCTTATAATCTTGTTAGGAGTTGTATCTATGCTAATTTAGAGAGACATGTTTGGTTTGTATCTCCGTCTGATGACGTCTGTAATTCTTACGAAGAATAATAAAGGTCTATTATGTAAAAAACAAAAATGGGGAAAAAGGAAAAACGATGCCGTGGCTGTCGACGTCGCCGGGCATGACCACCACCAGTGTCTAATCCGGCGCGGCGGCGGGCTACCACCAGCAGGGTCGGGCTACCACCAGCAGGACCAGATGCTTCCAGAAGACCCTCGACGAGCAGGGCGTGGTGATTCAGGAAGGACACCGTCACACCGACAGCGGCTGCTTAAAACCGCTGTAAGTTTGCAGCTTCGACTTTTGATTTGTTTGTATCTCAAAAAAGAGGATTTTTTTTATTCATCTTGGGAGATTGCATTTGTACTAGTTCGTAGCGGGAAATGGTTCACTTGGACGATTCCAAGCTTTACCCTGCGTTCTAGAAGTAAGATCGACTGGAGCAGGGGAATTTTCATTTTGCTGACCCTAGTAAAATAAGCGGTTATGCTTTTATTTTTTTGGGGGGAAAGAAGCTCTTTTATTTATTTTTTGATAAAGAAAGAAGCTGCTTTAAACTTGGTGAATTTATGATACGTCTCACAGTTGTGCTGACGAGGGCAAAATAAGATTCGACTCCTCTCATGTCCTTGTCCCTAATCCAAATACTGCTCTTTTGTAACATTGGCTTAGGAATGGGAATGGTAGAGGACAGTCCCCATGCTCTGGAGGGCATATGCTGCATCGAGTTGAACTTTTTGACATCAGCATTCATGAACCTATTCCATGCAAGAAGAGTGCGATGCAGGACTGGGAGGAATATCACTGAAGATTCTGAAAGTGCTACCGAACAAGGTGAGCCTTCATGTCACGTTCAGAAATCATAATAGAATTGCAGTGATAAATGGGAACTGAAAAAATTGGATTAGTTTCTGCAGCTAAAGGTTAGTAGTAACCTATTAAGTTTTCCTGTCTATTAAGAGAAGGGACATTCTCATGGAAACATTTGCCACAAAAGCTCTCTGTTATATGATAATGATGATCCTGGATGGTGTATGGGCATTCCTACCTTTTAAACACTATGTGGACAAAATAAGTGGAAAGAACAAGCTACAAACACCAAGCTGAGTATATTATGAGAGGAACTAACTCATTCGTTTTATCTGAATGACAGTATTGCAGAACTTGTTTCAGACTGGTCCGAACTTTCACTGTATAGGAACAAAAGATGCAAATGTAGCAATAACAAACTTCATTGCTTCGTGGTTTTTAAAGATTTTTTTATTTCAGGACATCTGTTGCCATCAATCAGACTGCAGTACATGGTAATAAAGGCATGGGAATAAAGGCAAACTATCAGTTTGATGTGAATGATAATTAGGAAGAAATTTTCTACTTTTGAAGTGACTGAAACACAGAAATTTTGAAGTCACTTGATCTTACTACAAGATAATTCTGAAGATTCATGCTCCAAGCCTCCAACTTTGGATCAATCTAATGCCATACAGTGGTAGGGGCGAAGCCTGAATGGGCAGTCAATGTTCATCGTAAACACCCCACGGTTTCAGTTCAAAAAAATGTTCTTCGTAAACCCAGCAAAGCAATTCAATTGACCAAGAATAGAAGCACTGAAACATACAGTAGCATCAAGGGAGCGCATTGGCGTGTGCTTGCTGATTCTTAGAATTGATTCTGCAGATTGTTTTTGAAAACATGATGGTTTGGGTATGTTGCAATAGTTTCTTTGACACTATATGGGATGCTGATGCCATTGAGCTCAAATCGATTCAGTCTTTCAAGATAGCCAATTCCAGAAATGGACTGTACCTGGGTGAATGACCAAACAATACTCCCAAACAATAGAGGCTAGCTAGGTTTCTATGAAGCAGACATTGGGCTTATTAGCGTGGTCCCTTGCCGCTGCTCGCCATGCAATTTTTATCCCATCAACCACCCGACTATGGAGAGCGATTTCCTTCAGATTTTGAAGGCGTTTGATTTCGATGCCCGGAAGATCACCAAGAGATTCGCAGAGCATTTGTAGCGATACAAGAGACCGCAGAGCCCCAGCCTGGATTGTTACATCGTGGAGACTTCGCACGCCCACAAGGCACATCCGGTGCAAGCATGGGAAGTGCTCAGGTTGTATGACCAGGGGGCCAAGGTTATCTTCGACGAGCTTCAGATATTTCAGCACCCGCAAATTAACCAGGCCGGCTAGAATGGCGCCCCCTGCAAGATTAGTCGACGAAAGGCATAGCTCTTGAATACCCCTCAACTTCGTAACAAACTTCTCAGGTTCTGGTAGAGAATCCAGGAACTGTGTCAGGTCGCCACGCAATTTGAGCGAGGTCAGTTTGCCCGGGGCTTGTAGAGATTCCAGGAGCCGAACTGAGCATTCGGCAGTGGAGCACTCTGTGAAATCAATGGACAAGGAGCGATCAACACTAGCCATACTGTTACCGTCACTGGTGAACACCTTGACGGCATCTGAAAGATGAGTAATGCTGGTGGCATCTACAGAAGAATCCAACCATATTTTCACCTTCTTCAGCTGCCCCATAAAAAGCATCTGTTGTGAAATTCCTTTCCTCCTGTCCGCGACAAACCCTGAAAGCGTCTCCAGGGCCAGGTCACAGCCACAGTTGTCTGACAAGAACTTGTCTAGCTTTTTATTTGGGATTTCTTGTAGCTGAAACTTTCCAAGCAGGTGTTTCAACTTGGGTAGCTTGAGGGCTTCTAAGCACAGCTCCACTGTTTCGGTTCTCCTCATGTCGAGCGTCTCTAGACGTTGCAGATTCCTTATTTTCTGTGGAACCTTACCAATAGTTTCACCGAGGCTCAGATACTTCAGCAGAAGCAGGCCGCATATATCTCTGAGATGTTTTTCTTCCAGATGAGAGCATTCCTTGAGATCCAACACCCGTAGTAGCTCATACTTGGCAAACTTAAGCGTATCCTTATAATTGTCAAGATTGGCAGCAGGGAATACCGCTAAGGTACGGAGACGAGATAAATCCTTGGGCAGTTTCAACCGCCTATTTGCTGCTGCTGCTGCTCTGTTAGGATGGAGAGAAAGTCGGCGAACACATGGCGGTTCATGGCCGGTCCGACCACAGACTAAGGTGATGAAATTATTGGACGCTGACTTCTTGCGAGAAACGGGGTCCAGCATTATCTCGTAAGGCCGGCATCTCTTCACCTTTCCAGTGTTGCTTACTTGAACGGGCTGAATGATATTGCGGTTGATGAGGGTGTTGAATGCCACCTCTTCGGGACTACTTCGAGCGTCCTCTGGTTCAATGAATACGATTTCTTCAGCCAACCATCTCCTTATTAGAGGATTCCTTCTGACAGGATGATCACAGGGGAACATGCAAAAGTATAGCAACAAGTCCTGAAGACCAAGCCCAGCTAGACTCTCATAGTTACTGACAAGCATCTCTTCCAACTTTGCTCTAAGGGTGTAGCCCTCTTCAAATTTACTTTCTGTCAGCTCTAGGATCTTAAAAATTTGGGATGTGCTGCTACACTGAGCAAGTGCTAAACCTTTACCACAGATGCAGCGTGTTCCTGCTGACTGGATGTTTGTTGTCAAGATAATTGTGCTTCCAATTCCATCAGTCCAGGGGAATGCAGATACCATGTCGTACAGCTCATCTGCGGCCACATCATCAATTACAATCAAGAATCTGAAATATGCAAATTTAGAAAACAATGTTAGGCCTCTTCGATTCACGTAAACCTGTAATAAATCCGCCGCAAAAAAGAGAAAACATATATGATTTTTTTTTTTTTTTTAAAACATGGCAAGAGTTCTGCTTCTCAATTAAGATAGGAATAAGAGTTTATGTACAGAGAAAACATATATGATAGGAATACATTGCAAAACTGAGCCGAAACACGTGAATTAAATCCTTTTGATTTGATTCCTTGATACAAAAAGAGGTTGTCGTGCATGATTAAAAAATAGAGGTGCTCACTGTTTTTTTATTTATTTTTGGAAGACGTGGCAACAACATTAAAGACAAGAAAGATGAAAAACACAAGAATCTAGGTCTTGTACAAAAATCAAAGTTTAAGAAACCATATAAAATTTATTGGAATTGGCATCATAGATACCAAGACGCAATAAGAGAGTGGGGTGGAAGATGATTGAAGAGAGGGGACAAAGATTATTAGAAGAGTTTATTTTGAAATAACAACTTAGCGCTGTTCGGCACAGTTTTCTCAGCAGATTCATGAGCTATTTGGAAATATTTTTTTTGGCAAACTAGTTAAAATAGAACAACTTGTCAAGTGGAGTTCATTAAAACCAGCTCTCACGGGGTAGATATTGGATGAAGTTAGCTCCCTCTCTACAATTCTACTATAAGAAACTATTTTACCAAATTTTTTTTTCAAAACACCTTTAACTCCACTCATATATGAGAGTTTTGGAACCGACAGTAAAAATATTGTGTTCCATTGGTGTCAGTTTGAGAATCCCCTTTGTAAGGCGATTGTCTTAAAACTACCACAAGTGCATATCTTAAAGACCATTTATGTACTAGTGACCTCGATCACTATGTTCACACATCATCTTAAATTCTCCAGATAAATATATGTACATGACCATGTGCATGTACAGAAGTAATAGCACTCTGTTCTACAACACCACTTCAGCAGCGAATGAACAATGTTCTTCTCTTACAACAAATCAGCATAAGCATCAGCATAAGCCAAATTTTAGCGAATCGAACAATATGTGGTTGTGAGCATTGAGATACATTAAAATTTTCATTGTTATTTCTCATTTGCAAGGAGACAAAGCCTAATGATCTATAGAATTTCAAAATCTTGGTTGCTAATTATTTTTCAGTAACCATATATGTGTGGCACACGTATCTCGAAAATATAGGGCAATTAAGATGAATTAGCCTCTGCTTTATTTATGTGATCCGGGAGCATCTTCCAAGAGTCCCCCTATTCACCCTAGAGTCAAATTTAAGGTTTATGTGAAGAAAATAACCCTGCAACAGTGTTTTTCCTGTTCAACACACTGTGGTAACCTGTTTCTGTCGATATCTGACGTCCATAAACGAACTGATATAACTGTAAATGGAGAACACTACACTACGTACTAATCCGGAGTATAGACGACAGAGAAATTAATCACCTTTCATTCTTCGGCCAACGCTCGATAAACGTGGCGCCGCCATGTTCGCCACCATTCTCATGGACGCCGTTGCCCACAGCGGTTTGCTCTGAAAGGACGTATTCTTGTATCTGTATCTCCTGCTGCAGCTCCTCCTCGGACTTGGTGGTGCCGCTGACACCGTTAATGAGTTGGTCGAGAATCTCTTTGGCGCACTTGCCCGCCGCACTAACCCAGGCCCGACAACCGAACTGGCGACCGACATCACCCTCATAGACCTGCTTTGCAAGATGAGTCATACCTGGGCCACCGCCGAGGCCAACAATGGAGATTACCTTCAGCTTCTCCTCTGAATCGCTCTGCACAAGTGCAACAAGTTCCTGCTCCGCGTCCTTCATGTCAACGATGCGACCAGCTGGCGGTGGCGAAGCAAGTTCATGATGGGAAGACGGTGGTGCGCTGCTGCCTGATCCTGAAGTGGCCAAGTTGATGTAGATGTAGCTTGTTAACTGCTCGCGTGTGTCCTTTGCTCTGTCCTTGAGTACACCAATCTCCCTGGCAAACTGTCTGCGGGTCATCTTCCCGATGTGGAAGCGATCGATGCACTCTTCGATGTCATCTGCCAAGCACCTGAGCTCTGCGAGTACCAGTCTATGAAAATGACTGATAATCCATGGTTTATCTCGTATGAGAGCTTGGATCAACTGAAGCTCACGTTGGAGGAATCCAGCATCAAGCTGAACCTGCCCCAACTCTTCACTAATCACCTTCAAAAGCTTCGGTAGGATGGTCTTCAGTACGGTGGCGGCTACGGTCACACCAACCTCCATCTTCCCATGGATCGATAGATATCTCAGCAATCCTCCACAGATCTAAATCATAAGTGAAGTGGCCTTGGTATGACTGGAAATTGATGGGGGAGGGGGGCAGATTCAGTCGTAACTGAATTTATGTAGATGTCTTTATCTTTACCTAATATATACCTAATAACGTGTTATCTAGTGTTGAGTTTGGCTAGTGCTACTAATAAGAAACAATATATTCTGTGAAAGCCTGGTGGAGGCCTAGTCCTTGACTAGGTCCCCAGAAAAAGGTGTCTAAGGTTTCCTTTTGGTAAATCATACCAACGCTTCCAGGGGATACTTGCAATTTACACACAAAATTAAAGTTAATTATTATTAGTTGATCGAAACCTTAAGATAAGTGAGAACATATAGTACCTCAATTTTAAAATAGATGACCTCCTAAAATTTATGCATCATTTATAGTGTTCTATACTTAACTCTTCACACAAAGATAATAAGACTTCATTGAAATTATATTATTTTCAATACACTACTCTCTTGGTCCCACAAAGAGTATCACTCTCACTGTACTAGAAGTCAAACGTACAAGAGAATATTAATATTTATGATGTATAATACTACTCCATCCTATAAAAAGAGTTGCTATGGGACTCGTGCTAGTTAAACTTTCCTAAGTTTGATTAGATTTATAGAAAAATATTAGCAGCAATATTCGTATCTTCAAATAAGTTTACTATAAAAATATATTCAATGATACCAATTATGTACCATAAATATTAATATTTTCTTGTATATATTTGGTCAAAGTTAAAAATCTTTGACTTTGGAAAGCGAGAATAACACTTTTTATGGGATTGGAGCGAGTAAGTGTCATTAGATTAATTGTTGAACATATTTTCATAATAAACTTATTTGGAGATATAAATGTTGATAATATTTTCTATAATGCTAGTCAAACTTAAAGTAAAGTTTCACTAGCATAGAATCCTATGCAACACTCTTTTTGGGATGAAGTATTACATAGAGGATTTTCTAAGGTGTGTAGCTCCATTTTCAGACGGGTGCGCGATGGCCTATGCAAACAAAAAATTTAGTGTCTTTGAGGATTTAAATCCATAACCTAGTATTCAGCCATAACGCATCTCTACCACTACACCACACACTCATTTGTGACTCTATGTAACATGATATCTTCTTATATCAACATTTTGTGATCTTGTATTGAATATTTTGGCTACTAAATGAACTCAAATAAAAAAGTTTTAACTACAAAGTTTTAAATCTTCTCAAGCACTACTACAACTTTTATATAGGATGTGTCTCTATCCGAGATTGTTTGAAAAATTCAAAAATTTGAATGTCAAAGTATGTGAATTTAAAAAAAAATATTTGAGAAAGTAAAAACTTCACATAAAAAACATATCAACAGCAAACATGTAGATTAGGTCGTCCACTATAACTTTGATATTAATTATGTGAACATTTAAGGTCATTTACAAATTCTAAAATTTGAATTTTAAAATCTATGAACTTAAAAGCACATATTTGGAACTCTAAACAACTTCAAATAAAAAATTCAGCTACAAAGCTGTAGACTACACTGAGATCTAGAACTACACCCTGCAAGTATGTATGGGAGAGCATCCTCCATGGACTAAACCGGTAAATCCATAGCTAGCACAAGACGTCATCGGCTAGTGGAAACACCTGTGGGAAGCATGGTCTGGCCAACAATGGAGTGCTTTGGACACCCGTATTGGTGCCGTGGCAAACTATGGAAAGAGAAGAACGCGAAATACTTCTGAGGTTTAACCATGATGATGCAAGCTCAGATCTTGATGATCAAGGTCGAGGACCACCAATGGATACAGGCGGGAGTGGTAGGACTTAGTTGCTTAGCTGTTGTACTGAACCAGACCGTGTATTCACCGAGTAACTCTGACTAACTCATGGTTGGTTCACCAGCCCTCCTTGTTCTAAAACCCTTTAATTTCTACCTTCACACAATGATACACAACACTCTTGAGTATCCGAGAAAAACATCATATATGAATATGACAAACTCAAGATACCAAACTACCACTCCCCATGTTGTCTCTGAGAGGTGACACAGGGAGCCACAAACTCTCCGCCTACCCACCCCTCTATCGATTTCCCGGACAGCTACCATTGCCAACACCGGCTGGCGACAACCACGATGACGGCTGTAGTTTATCTGCCCTCTCTTTTCCCCTCCTCTTCTCTAACTCCTTACTCTCAGTTGACGAGTTGACAATTTTTAGGTTGGACCCATATGCTGGCGGAGTGTTCCATTGGGTTCAAAGTCGGTTGTAGGGTCTCAAGCTTGAGGGCCTTGCAATGGGCATCATTGCTAGTTATACCTGACGTATGCAACTGCAAGGTGATAGAGATGCTGCCAACAGTGCTTGGGTTATGTTGCTCCTGCTGCACACGTGTGGCGAGGCCTACTATGGTTGCTACACGTGGATATAGTTGTAGAAAAGGCCCAAGGTCTGTTAGCTCAACGTGCCGCCTAAATTTTTGGCCCGGCCCAAACATAGTACGTATGGATGCCAATGTGCCTAGGCCAATAGGATCTAGTCACATGTGACATGCTTGGGCTGCCCCCCTAGCACGCTAGGCATCATGACATGGTTTGTTAAACAATGGTCAACCCGGTGCTGGCCTGCTACTAACTAGGTGAGTATATATTCTGATCCCCTCCCAAGGCAGCCCCATTGGCCTCGCAACCTCTAGATCATTTCCCTCCCTGATCTTGCCACCTCTCTTGACTCCGCTTCTCTGCCTCTCTCAGTTTGGTGACTCCCTCCTCCACTCGTCCTCCTAGTCTTCTTTGACTATGTCTCCCGTCTCTACCTCCTATCTCCCATCTATGTGACTATGCACCTCTCATATCTTCTCCACTCTCACCTCTCACCCTCCCCTCTGTCCTCCTCGCCCTCAACCTTTCACCACTGGTGCAGTTGCCTCTTACCATCTCACTCCTTGGGGTCTCCCTTCTTTCCGTCTCGTCCTCTCCAACTTTGGGCTTTGGCTACACAAAATAACATACCCTAACTATAACCCCATGGATTAGGCTAGATCTGCTAATTTCTTTGCATCAAAGCTCTATATTCATGTTGCAGATCTAATGTTCTTTCTATTTGTGTTGTGATCTTGTAGGTCATTGGACAATCCTGCATGCATTGTGTGGGTGCTACGCGCACCATTGAGGGATGGAGTTACTGAGATGCCAATGATGGCAACAACATGAGGCTGTGATAGAGGATACCGATCCAACCTCCATCAATCATGATCTCATGCTACAAAGGCTAGCTAAGAACATGATGCCTTGTTTGGTAGCAGTGCTGCTTTGATATAAATCTTGAAGGAGATGCAGGACACTAATGGGCTCCTTGAGCATTGTTGTCTGCTTGAGCGTGAAGAGGCCCAAATCCTCTCTCTTGGAGGAATTTGAGGAGGCGAATGGCAAGATCTCATGCTAAATGCAACTATTGTAAGCAACTCCTTACTTGTGGTTCTTGTGCTAGTGCTGGCCATTCGCACCGGCATCAAAAGGTTTGCAAACAGAAAGATTACCATGCTGCCAAAGTTCAATCCCATCGTGCATTCAATCTCGACAACTCTATCTATTACTGAGATAATGGGATTATATTACAACCCTAAACTTGCTTGTACTAAATTGTCCCACTTGATTGCTAGACTTGATCTACTTCTCGAAATTGGTGAGACTCTTGCATTTGAGGAGTACATTAAGCATGCTCATAGTCCACGTCTTCCTAAAGTCTCTAGTAGGCAAAGCATAACTAGAGACTTGGTAAATACTACACTAAATACCGCGTGCTATGTTTATGGTTTGCTTGCAGCCAAGTGTTTCCTTTGTTGCTCTAATTTCTGATATCTTGGTGTGGTTGTTTTTTTTCCCGCTGATTGGCAATTAGAGAATAGAATAATAGGCCTTAGGCTTATTGATATTTCACATTCCAGCATTAACATTAATTATTTTGGGAAAGTGTGGTGCACCGTGCACGTGCACCCACTAATTGTATGTTTTTCAGGCTTGGTTGTGTCTAGGGCACTCCAACCATGAAAATAGTTAGATGGTTTCTGTGTTCATTAATTAGGGTGCCAAATAAGCAAAGAAAAAAGAAGATGATGTGACACTACAATTTAAAAATGAGGAAATGGTTTTTTTAATAAGAAACCATCTCTACATGAGAACTAAGACTTAAATAGATATGATAGGTAGATGATGGAGAGAGAAGATATGTAATTGGACAGAAAATTATTCTGTAGAAAGTACCCATTAAATACATAGTTTCTAGTTTAGTGTCTACATAAATTAATAAACACAAAAATTACATGTACTCCCTTTGTTCTAATTTATAAGTCGCTATGACTTTTTTTGGTACATCAAATTCGATATGTATCTAGACATAACATCGATTTTGATATGTAACTGGACATACGTTATGAACTACTAAAAATAATAATTATTTGTGGTATGTATCTAGATATATGTTATGAACTACCAAAAATATGTTGTGAATTTGATATGTATCTAGACATCGAATTTGATTCTTAAAACGTGTTGCTTGGACTAACAAAAATATATTTGATGCTGTATTCTTGGTTTGCATCCTTCAAATGATCTGAGGAATTGAAAGCACTGTATTAACAAAATGGAAAGAGCTTCTAAGACTTTAAAATGCTGCTGAATATGAACTCAAATTTATGCATTCAATTTCGTGGTCATATTTTAAAAATCCGTTGACATTTGAAAATGTGAAGTCAATTTTTTCTAGTGAAAGATTTGATATGTTCTTGAATACTTCAGCTAGTTGGCAAGGGTGTAGGTTAATTTCTCAATGCTTGGCCCAGATTGTAAATTGGGTAGCAATAGGGTATAATTTTGCATTTGGAGCCAAATAACATTTTCTGAAGTTCAAGTGCTATTATGTAACTTCATGATTTGTGAAAAATGTGGTCCTCAAGATGTAAAA